AGATTAAACATATTTGCGAACACGCTAATTCCACTTATGTCAGACCAAGAGTTAAATAATTAAATAATATAGTTTTTCGGAACTAAAACATTTCCATTATTTAGAATTGCCATTACAAACAGTGCGCCATCTAGTGACAGTTCCGTAATAAAAGTGAACCTGCCAATTGATGGCGCTTTTGGATGATGTATTACGTATATAAAAAATGTTTGTACTAAGTGAGTTTAGGCATCAGGGCATAGCCTAATTTCAGTTGCACCTCTTCCTAGATTGAGTTGTACAGTTGCCACGAGGCCTTAGCAATACTGCGATTGTAAACGCCATGTTATGTCAGACTCATTCAGTCGTGATAACAATATGATCCAGGAAGCCATCGATCGCGTAACGTAACGTAGTAGCGTGTTTGAGAACGTGGTGATCATAGATGGTACATGATGCACTGGGATAACCTACTCTGCATACCAATTACCCAGATTTCGCAACAACTAAAACAGATTTCAATAAAACCTAATACATAAATGGTCTAGGATAATTTGCAAACCTGATTGGATTCTGGTTTCAGTCTGTGTATATTAATTGCCAAATTTAATATTAAATTAAATTTTTAACTTTTCCACCAATATCTCTAAAATGAACGTACATATGTGCCCTGGGGTTTATGTTTATTAGTTTAGGGTTAAATTATGTGCTCACTAATTACCTAATCTGCATGCGTTCCACAGATAAATTGATTACCAAAAATTTAAATTTAATAGACATGCGCCTTTTGGATAATCCACAGATCTGATCACCTGTGTGAAGCGAAACGAACACGTGGCGTAGTTCACAGTTGGTGTTTTAAGTGTAAAGATAATATTATGATTGTTTCCACGATAGGCAGGGCGCGAAATTGTTTATTTGTTTATAAAAAATGATACTTTACATTTAATTTCATGTGCGCAAACACAGATTTGTATATAGAGAGATGTACTATACAGCTTGCATGTGCATCTTGTCTTGACTTAGCTAATAAAGATTTTGATATTATAATAATGGTACGGAAATAGTAGGTGCAAACCATCTTGACCAATAACGACTTCTTTTACCTCATGTTCATTATTTCTAATTATAGTAGTAATTCCTCTGATGTTACTAGTTCCGTCGGAAAAAAAACAAAACAAATATTGCCTTTTCTTGGCGAGTGCTTCTAATAAAGTATTTCTTGTAAGTATTTCATTTCCCCAATACCCTTAGCACACGTGAGCTTTTTCTAAGCTGTCCAGTACTATCATTGAGACTGTATCATTCTTATTTCTCAATATTTATGCTCCAAATAACAAAGATGGCCAGAGTTATTTATGAAATAATATTTTAGCTACTACATTAACGACAAGGCTCCGATGAACTGGATTTGGTAGGTACGCTAGTTTGAAGCGGTATTGCAATGCTCACATAAATTGTATAAATAGAGCGCTAAATTCGTTGAGAGCTAGCCTAAACAAACACGATCTGCCATGCGTTTGAAGATATTGATAATCTAAACCATCGGCGTGTATCTAACAAGCAAAGCGTGCAAATAACTATGCAAATAAATATATAAACTCCATATAATATCAAAGAGCCCGCACATCGTAAATCATATTGTCTAAAGCTGCTTAACAATACAATTGTCTACTATGGAAAATAATTCATGCTCGACATAAATATCGAGTGAATCTAATGTGTAATCAACGAAGTTGTTTATCAGCTTGTAGAATTGGTCGTGCATGTATAAGTGTCGCATGAACGGTACACAATTAAATAGCTTCTGCTCTAATTCAAGATCCGACATTGTGTTCGACAATATTGAGACGCTTACGCGTGGACGTGAACATGATGCCACACGACTTGAATTACTCATCATAATCTTGTAGCATGAGTTATAACTGCCGAAATTTAGGTAACACATGTTTATGCAAGCAATATCACCATTTATTGCCTGCTGGAAAGATGGTGGCCGATGCCAAATTATTGCAATTATTGGCATCATTATTGATGGAGTAACCGGATCACAACAAACATCCATAGAAAATACATCTAACGCACAAAAACGACAATGTTTTACATTTTCAAATTCCATCAGAATCAGTGTATTAGAGTGTATTGCCCCACACACCAGATTAAAACGTCAGAACGCTGTATTGAAGTAATTGATGTGTAATGTTTTTCTCATGTTACGATTGCAAAGTTTACATCGTTCTTATATACTCCTCAGTGCGTGCATAATGCGCTCCCACAATAACGCGATCCCCAGGGAGATGTTTCCACGATTCCTTTTAGGTAAATCGTAAATATCAAAACACCGTTCAATATACATTAATCATAATTACATCATATTGTATCACTACTGGCACGTGATCTCAACGAATAAAATCATCTGGAACCATGTAAAATCCCCTTTCCTCGTGTCACGTGTCAGGGTTTAATGACCAATCACAACAGTAAGATGTGGTAATGTTTTCATTATCATTAATATCTCGCACAAATAGCCACAATTAGGAATCGTGGGGGGGGGGGGGGTACCAAAATAATACTCACTGATGGGATACATTAAAACAAATGTATATAAATTGTTTCTCACTTTTTAAATGCCCTTGCATGCAACGAAAATAGGGCTTCCCAAGAAGCCACTTTATTAGTTAATCTAGAAAGCCTAGCTCTTCCGCAGGAAATTGTAAGCTTAGTGACGTCTCTCATCACAGCGAAAACACAATGCAATGCTCCGTTTTTCATATACAATAATATTTACTCAGTAAACATCATTGTACAATGCTATCCTCACATAGAGCCAACAGTGGACGCTCTCGGACGGACATCATGGTTGCAATTCGCGGCTTTAAAAAACTCCTACCTTAATTTTCGGTGTTTTGTTCATCAATACAGCAATATAAGACGGTGATAGCCATTGAAAGGAGAGTTAATAAAGTTGTTGCAACAATATCGGCCAAACTCGAGTTCATCACGATGGTTAGAGGAGTGCCGTCAAATCGGTAGCCGGAAGAAAAATCTTTGACTTGTCTGCCTGCTTACCTAATTGAACGTGATTCATTTATATTGTCGGGTCGGACAAGTGCGTCAATCGACACAACAACATAGATGTATTATTATTTATACAATCTGTGATCATCATTGGT